ACAGACCAAAGTGTGTGTGTGTGTGTGTGTATGTGTGTGTATGTGTGTGTACTACTTAAATCACAAAGAAAGAAATAGAACTGCAAGTGTGTCCTCTTCGCATTCGCATTCATATCCATATATATGGAAGCTACCTGTTTATTTCCTATTCCTTTATGCATGTGGAAATGTATGTATGTGTGTGTGTGTGTGTGTGTGGTACCTTCTTGTCAAATACAGAGGAGTAGGGCAGGACTTTATCCAAGCTGAGAGACTTCTCATAACTTATTCTGTACAAAGAAGCTGTTTGTGTGTGTGTGTGTGTGTGTGTGTGTGAGAGAGAGAGAGAGAGAGAGCAACAGAGAGAGACAGAATATAGTCAGACTTTTATTCTATATATTACAGTTATGCAGAATTCTTATCTTAAAGGAAGTATAAGACAAAGAAGCAATTTAAAACAATGTCCCACACAAACAGCAGGTAGATTATTGTGTGCATTACTGCCTTGCATGGCCTCTTGTTTTTCAGTGGTAAACTAGCAGCGAAGGGCAACAACATAGGCCTGCGTGCTGTGATCTTGGTGTGTATTTTATGAATATTCTGCCTACTCTCTTCAGCTCTGACTGCTGCAGCAGCACCTGTGACTGGCAGACAAATATCTTCCCCCCGTCTTTTCAAATCTCTTCCCCTGTCCAGACTCTCTGGGGAGACTCTGGTCACACCGAGCAGACTGACAGGCATACAATAATTTACTGATATCATGAGAATAATCCAACTCATTGTTGAGTAACTACAAAAGAAGTCATATGAAATGATAAATCAGTACTAAGATAATGTTGAGCACACAGCGGGGTACAAAGCGGGCTGAAATGATAAACTATGGACGGTTTTTCGGTTACTAATGTTTTATTCATTAGGTCAACATAACTGTCCTCACATAGTGTACAGTAACACCTGTATTAATAATGACTCTGTATCTTAGAGAAAGTTAAAGTGACTATAGCAACAGCAATAATATGCAAATGTAGGCGGCAAGGGGCTCCAACATCTAATGTGATCATCTACTTTCTAGGTGATGACTGTTTGCGTACATATGAAATGAATATCACTTTTGATGTATTTTTGAGTATTTTTTCTTCAGACTCACATTGTGGGACGTACAAATGTGTTGCTGTGTGTCTACTGGGACTTAACCATGTGGGTTTTTTTTAAACTGTTCTGTGCAAGCCACAACAAAATTCATCCTCTAATCCAGACTCTCCAGACTTGCGCTGGCACAAATCTGCGAGAAGAAGTTCAAGAGAATTTTTGTGTAGACAACATGTAAGCAGTCTAGTAACCACAGACAGGAGCCATAAAAAGGCAAGGGAGCAGCTAGACTCTAAAAGGAAGAAGAAGTGATACTCAGGAGATTTGTGTCCCCATGCTTCAGCTGCCACTGACCTAGAATAAATTCTTGGATCTGATCAAAGGATTCGAAGGCGTTCACGTTGTCACACAGCCATTCAATAATCTAGAGGCAGGATAGAAACACACAGGAGAAGGTGTCAAACAACATGGCAGCTGTACAACAAGTTCATCTTTTAATATCCCCATAAAGTGAAGGGTTCATGCTGCAAAATGTGTACCATGTACCATGTCTGAATGCTAAAAATGAAGCTACAGGCAGCAGTCGGTTAGCTTGGCTTAGCATTAAGACTGGAAGAAAAGGAAACAGCTAGTCTAAAGTAGGTTAAAAAATACTTCCATTGGCAACCTCATGGTAACAATAAGACTGTATAAATTAAACAAACAAGATATAACGTGATAATTAGAGAGCTTTAGAGGTGTTAGAGGTGCTACTAGGTGGATTTAGTTACATTTGGACAGAGCCAGGCTAGCTGCTAGCTGCTGCCACCCTTTCACGCTAAGCTAATTAACTCCTAGCTGTGGCTTCGTTTTGCTGTATGCTTCAACTTCTCTTGTAACTCTCGGAAAGAAAGTAAATATGTTCTATTGAGTATTAAGTATTAATATGTATTTCCTAGTGTGTGGAAATATCCCTTAAAAAACCCTCTTTGTTTCATTTGTTGTGTGTTTAAAAGACTAGAATTGTGGCTCTAGCAATGGAAGAGTTGTCGGTCAGTCGGTCGTTTGGTATAGAGGTCACTGAGATGTTTCCACAAAAGGTCGGCTGGATTATTTCCATATACACCAGCAGGAAAATGTCAGCATGCTAACACACTAAACTAAGATGGTGATTATGGGCAAACGTGGCTAAACGTCAGCATGTAAACTGTCACTGTAAGCATGTTAGCACGCCGATGTAAACCACTAGCATGGCTGTAGACTCTTGTACAAACAGTGGATATCTTATCTTAATAAAAAAAGAAGTTCTAGTTACTGATAAGTATTTTTGGACGATGTAGCTTCAATGGGGACTCAGAGGTTTACATTACAGAAACATGAAAAATTAATGATGTCCTCAAAGATAGTCCCAGCAAATCTCACAGCCACAGTGCATCAGAGTGAAAACTCATTTTCTGTTGCCCATTTTTCTGCTGTTTGAGGAAATATCACTGTCCAGAAACAAAAATACTACTATATAACAATGGTGTGAAGAAGAGGGGAAAAAAGCAGGTGGAAAAGAAATTTGCAGTGTTTTCTTAAAGTTACAAACTGCTGCAAACTAAGAAAAATAAATGTTAACAAGCAATCACCTTTATTAAAGCTGCTGCTTTTTGTGCCGCTGACCCCATTAACAGAGTCTACAAAGAATACAAAAGTTATGTGCGGTGTCCAATTTCCCAGTGCTAGCTGCACTAATGAAGCTTGTGACTCATTTAACCTCTAAAGAAAGAATTTATTACTATCTATCAGTGCAGCTGGAACGTCTTAATTTAGGTGTACTACTAATAGAGTCTGAGTCATAGTCAGCACTGTGCCCAAACAAAATATCTGTCCCTTTCTTTCTGTCTTTGTTTGGCTCTGTTTGATCTCTGCCCACTTGTCTCCTCTCCTCTCCTCTCCTGTTTTAATACAGCATCCTGTCTTCTCTTTCTTTCTGTCTTCTTCCCTCCATCCACTCACTTCCAACTCAACGTTGACACCTACCGAACTCACAGAGAAATGCAGAAAAGCTTCCATCTCTACCTTTATCTGTTTGTTTTTTTTTACTTAAGTGCTCATTTTCCTTCAGGGAATAATAAAATAAAGTGACATTACATCTGATGAAAAGTGACTCTCTGTCAGATTTCCCACTTTTCTGCTTCTTTATCGTTCCCTCACGTCTGGGTTCAGTCTCTCCCTCAGCAAGGGCGTATTATTGATCTTGTGACTTTGTTTAAACATTGATAACAACTGAAGTTTTCAATGACTTTATGTTCTACAAACAAATAGTGACGTTGTGTTGTATACAAATGAAACGCTGGATCAAAGAGTACGTTCTGTGGGCCCAGATGATGTGTTACATCTTTATCTGAGGGGGAAAATAACGTTACCTGATGCTAACTTTGACACAAAAACTGTATGTCCTCCAAACTCCTTTCCTGCCTTCATTTTTTACCTTCAGCTCCAGGTTTGGGTCATTTCCCATGTAAACCAACAGGCAGTGGAGGGCAGCCAGGCGCTGAGGGTCAGTCTTACTGCTGGGACACCTTGGATGGAGGTGAAATACAACACATTTGCTTTTAAACAAAGGAAGACTATACAAACAGAGAGGCACAGAGGCAGATGCACCGGCAGACAGCCAACAGTCAGGTACTATACTGTGATGCATGTGCTGTATAAAAAAAGTGGATTCAAGTTTAAAAATGAATAAATAAATGAATGAATAGGACAAAAAACTGTCCAAGAAAAGAATAGAGCAAGGGGCCACCGGTGCGTCTTTATCGAGCAGGGGGGTTGAATCCAAGGTGTTCGCTGGCCAGGATCCAAGTTAAAGTTGTTGTTTATTCCAGGAAGACTCTGCAGGTGTATGCACACCAAAATAACTTCCTGCATAACTATATTCTCCTCTGCTCTCAAGTGCCTCCTCTATGCATGTAAATATCACCCCAATATTCATAAATCCTTCATTTCCACAAAAAGCTATTAATCATGTTCACCTAGGAGTGTCTGATCGCAGTATCTGCAGCAAGTAGGCGGGGCTAAGTTCAGCAGTGTGGATCCTCCCACTGGCCAGGTCCAACAAACTGCCGCTAGACTCTTCCTCTGCATGCAACACTGTCATGTTAGCCGACTGACCCTGCAGGCCCGAGTCCACGTCAAGACCTTAAGGGTGGTTCAGACAGAAAAAAACAATTAATGCGAGCACCGCCGTCTCTACATTTGCACAGGTTTCACGTTTAAAAAAAAAAAAAACATATTGGAAAAAATAGGAGCGTGTGGCGTAGCTGAGAAACTGGCTTCAAAGCCATCGCTCAGATTGGACAGGGTTTGTGCGAAAACTTAATCTTACCTGAGAGAAAGAGGGAGTGACAGAGCAACTCCTGCTGCCTGGTGTTGATACAATGGAAGAAATAACCCTGCAGATACACCAGGATGTAGTAACCTACATAGAGTAATAACACAGCATCAGTCAGGGTATGTGTTAGCATGCTGTATGCACACCAGATATTTATTAGCCTGCATGAGGAGTGTGCCTCTGTTTCTGTTTTGAATGCAAAAGTAGGAGACTCATGTTTGGCACTCAAACTCACATACTTCAATTTATAAGATTTCTGATGTGTGCACTGACCTATGGGGATGAAGAGCGGATGGAGCTGTGTGGCTTTCTGTGGGGGCTGGTCGCCGCCCAGAGACACTCTGAACGTCTTGCTGCAGTCTGCAGAAAGAGAGGAAATCCATATTTGTCACCATGTGCTCGAGATAAAAACAGCAACATGGAAAAAGAGACAGCAATAGAAATGTACATGCTTTGAATACACAACAGTAGATGGCATACATACCTTTGTGAACCAACACAACAGTGTAGATCAGTTCTTGTTTGTCTTTAAGTGGTTGGCTGTAGCACACACACATGCTTCCTAAAAATAAACCACAGCACAGCACAGTTATCCATGACCATGACAATGTTCATTATAATCAATGAGAAATGAAATTAGTAGTGATATGTTTTGATAGACATTAATTAATTTTTCAGGTTGTATTAATCAGTCAGAGGGCAGAAATAGGGGTGAATGATTGAGATTTTGTATTTGATTCAGAAATCAAAGATTCAATCATTTCAGTGAATTAATCAAATAGGAATTCTAAAAATGACTCTTATCATGTTAGAGGTTGGATTTCTAATCGAACAGCTTCATCAGTTCTAATTTTAACAACATTACTTTTGTGGAAAATCATATTATTGTCACTGAGATTTAGTCATTTTCTGATCTCAAAAAACACAATTACTCATTTTATGTTTTATTGTATTCATGGTAAAATTGCATCATTATGTACTGCAGATTATATACCATAGCTTCTCAGTTGTGACTGGGACGTACTTTCTTGTTTTCAAGAGAAATGCAGAACAAAAATGTACAGAATTAGTCAAACAACTGGAATGTCAGTTTATTGTGCTGAGTGTGAGAGAATGTATGTGTGAGAGCACATCATTCATACAAGGATTTATGTGTGTGTGAAAGTGTTACCTATTCTGTTGGTGAACACTTCCATCCTAACAAGCTCCTGCTCTGGTCTCTCTATGTGATAATGGTCAAAACCCAGATTTACAAACCTGTTGGACACACACGTGTAGACACAAGGATTTTAGAGAAACATACAAATATAGTATAATCACAATATATGGGGACTTATAAACCTGAGAAATGATGCAGGTGTAGAACAAACATAACTTGCACTGCACAAGAACTGTGAAGGACAACAATGTCTTTGTCTGCAGGTAAATATCAATAATAATCAAAAGGAATGCAGAATATAGGATGAAGTATCTGCTGAGAAAACACAATTCTATATTTATTCTGTACTAGTGGTTGTTGTCTTACTTGACTGTGTGGAAAGGATTAGCAGGCAACTCTAATGGGAGCTCCAACTGTGGGACAGTAATATAAAGTAAGAAAATGATATGTTATTATCAGGTCACATTGTGGCTATGACAGCATGTGCAAAAGACTGGTACTGTACTATATTATAAGACCTAAAGATAACTCACCACAATTTCACAGTTATGGTTGAGGTAAAACTGGACACATCGCATCAGGAACTTGTCCTGTGAGAGATATTTTTTGTTATTCAGTGCAATTAATATGATGTTTTGTCTTTTTATGGACATATGCAATTCAATGCAGGGTCCTCACAAGTATAGTTGTACATGCCTGTGTGTGTGTTGCATTATGAGTGAGATAGTAGAGTCTTTGTGTGTGTCCGTCCCACTGGAGCCAGCAGAAGTCCTCCACTATTCTCTCAGCTGTTTTGGACAAACGCTCGGGATTCGCCATCACCTGGATAACGCAAACGCAAACACAAACACAAACACAAACACATTCATATTCATATTGCAGACACGCTGAATCCTTAATGCAAAGCTCCCCAGGAGGACAGGAGACACGGTACATTTTATGGCCTGAGAATGAGGTCGAAACAATATATTTTTTGTGCTGGGTTATGTAAATACATTCCAACCTTTTTTGCTTAATTACTAGATATGTGCAAATAATTTATACCTTTAAAAAAAACTGCATAGAACCCACCAGCCAGATAAATCCTCCATGTAATTTGTAGTTAAGCTGAAGAGACTATCCACTGACACTTCCCTCAAAAAGAAAAAGAGCTGGCTGATGTGAGCAGTGTGGTGGATATAGAGCTCAACTCACCACTCTATAACCCTCCTGTCTTGTCAGCAGAACATGGTAGAGATCCACATCTGGAACACAGAAGGATAACTATGCATAACTACAACTACTGTATAAAAAATGTAATGTTTCTCCAGAGAATGCTGTTTGTAAAAAGCCAGATGATTTCTCTCCAAGTTTGCTGATGTGTTTTGTTACAGATTAAAGAAATATAGCCGACAGAGGCAGACAAGCATAAGGGCAGGGCACAAAGACTCACATCCATCCTCAGTCAGCAGTAGGAGGTGGCTCTCCAGCACTGATCTCTTGTCAGTTTCTGAATGAAGGAACTAGGGAGGGGGCACAGCAAACACGAGTCAGCATGTGAATGACTGTTACCAGAAGGGGAAATCAACTCGCTGATTTTTACATTTAACGCAATCCTCAAACATTCTTCGCATATGTTTCAATTTGTGGTTTGGCAATATGGCGAACAACAGTAAGCAGTACAAAGGTCATAGCAACAGTGGCTTAATAACATATACATTTATATTATTCCTCTGTTGATAAAAAAGACTTAACTGAGAAAGAGAGACGGATAAAAAAAAAAAATGACCACAGCAACTACAGGCCAGTGCACTTTCAGCAAGATTGTAAAATAAATAGTCTATGGCACTTGTACACTGTAAGCGCTGATGCTCCACAACTGCAACGTCAGCTTGTGGCTGCAGTAAAACCTGCATGAAAGTGGCCAAGACAACACACTTAAACTCTACCTGCACTTTGACCCTGCAGTCTACTGCCTTGAGGACTTTGGTGTTATTGATGGGATGGATCTCAATCAGGAGAGTTAGACACTTGGATACTGCAAAGACAGAATGAGAGAAGAAATGACCTGAAGGATTTTGACTAGAAACATTCAAAGAAATATGTTGAATACTTCAGGAAGCTAAAATTGATGTCACGCTCTGTAAATGAAATAGAGAGGATGAGATTTTTGGGTGTTACTTGGTTTGAGGCGCTCCTCTCCTCTGGTGTTTTGTGCCAAGCTGACAGCTGAGAAGGGGGGAAAAAAAGCACAGGCAGGGAGTCATGTGACTGGATTTACATATATCTTCCACAGAGACTGCACTAAATCTGGGTTTCTTTAACGGTCAATAATCTGCACCAAAACTGCGTCTGTAGCCTTGTTCTTATGGGTCCCCATGATGTAAAATAGGGATGAAATCGGTGGCACAGATCAAGCTAGGCAACGTCTCACTTAATTGTCTGATTTGGGGTCAGTATTGCTAACAATGTCTACGGCTGGCAGTCCATTACCTATACATTACAGGGGCTCACCTAACAGCGTCTCCTCCTTGTTCAGGGAACAGCTGCTGACACACACCTGCTTGTCGAATGTGTACAGGAGCTGTTGGAGAGAAAACACATATGGGAACAGGTGTGCGCACAAGCCAAAATGTGCAGCACTAAGGAGAAGGAGACGCGACACACATTCACAATACCTTGTTCTGTTTGGTGTTGGAGTCATATTTCCCAATTCTGGTGGTCCCTGTTGCTCCCTGTCAGAATAAGAATAGATTCTTCGAGTTAGGTCATGTATCATTAGATCAATCAAACTACAAAGATGGATAATCCTAATCTGTCCAGAGCAGACCTACTTTCCCACTGGTGTCCTCAATGTGTGGAACGTCATGCTTGACCTCTTCATTACCTTGGCTGACCTTGCTGATTATCCTGACTAGACCTGCTTGACTTCAAACCAGCGATTCACCGCTTACTTTTTTTGGTTCAGAAGATTTCAAATAAAGGAAGTCTACTTTGAAACCCAAGGCACAGCCAGGCATGTGTAAAACTGTGAACCTTGCACTGAAAAAAATGATTATTTCCTCTTCGCAGGCTGCACACTGTCTTTAACCTCCTAAACCCACAGACTCTTTGGCGGGTCTATCATTAAAAATTTATGTTGTGCAGAGAGGCACACTTCAACACCCAGAACTTTATTTTAAATTCTAGTAAGGATCCTGAGGTTTCCAAAAATACCAAATATGTCAAGCAGAATTATAGAGAAATCTGAATAAGAGAATATGGAATTTTTCATTTGATAGCGTCCACTTGATGATGAATGGTGACAAAATAAAAAAATGGCATTTGGGATTTGAATATTTCGCCCACTATAACTTCAATGAAGCACTGGGACAAGCAGATACGGAATAACTGGCACACAGTGTGAATATAATGTTATATCCTACATATAGTACAAGCTGTCAAGACAAAAAGAGGAAGCATTGGGTTTATTGCAGAAGTTCAACCAGATATTACACTAAACACATAAGGGAAATTAAAAAGGGAATTGATGAATTGAATGATTATTATGTGCTTAAAGTTTTATTCTTGTAATATATATACATATAATGTATAAAGACAAGACATTGTGCATGACACGGCAATGACAATGAACGAAACACCTCATGCAGTGCCGTCACAATGGACATACCTTCCAGGAGTAAAGGATGCCCCCGTCGCTCTCAATGTTCAGGATACGAGTGTCCACTGCTCCAGAGTATTCTGCAGACACAGCATCGTCATTATGAACCACTGCATCTTATAATGTCTAAAGGTGTTCATGCTAAATGAGAATGTAGTGCGTTTCCACTGTGGATTAAGTTGGTATTGTATGTGTAAAGTGTCCAGATGTGCAGGTGGATTATTTGGCAGGAATCTGTAAATATGCTGTTTTAATGAGATGTGTCACCTGTATAATTACTATTGTCCTTGCATCACTTAACACATTTGTGTCACCTGTCACTACTAGTATGTTTACATTACATTAAGTGTCATATACAGAGATTTATTTCTTATAATGTTACAATAAACTTTTGATTGCTTAACTGCATGAAAATCCAAAGTCTTGCTGTGATATTTGGATCCTACCACAGACATTTTAAGGAAACCATTCAATATATTGTATTTTATATCGCATTTTAGTGTGGTTTATCTTTTAATTTGAAAATGTTCTCTATCTTTTAAGACGTTTTAATGCATGTAGACTGCTTTAGATTAAATTTAGATTATATGTCCTTCATTGCTCTCTCTATATGGTATTTAGAGAGGATATGTGAAGAGTAAAGAGCGCCATCTACTGGTCAACACCTGTTAACCTTTAATTACTTTAGGTTTCAGATTTTCCCACTTTTAGAAGCTAAAGCTATAGGACACTTCTTGCTAAAAATGCATCCGCTAAATCGACTTTATAAGACATATTATGCAATTCAGTACCAATTACACAAACGTATAGTACAGTAAAATGTGCTCTAGAGTCTGTAATAACAGTGAAAGGTAACATTTGACCCTTAAACATGGCACTTTTAAGCTAGCTCACTATTAGTCAAAGCTAGCCTAAATAAATATGTTATGTTATGTTAACAGTAAGAAACAGTGACACCTGAACGCCTCACCTTTCACCCTGCAGACCGACGCCTCCTTCCTGAGGATATCAGACACCACATCCCTGTGCAGGTCAAACTTTGACTTTAATTTCAGCATGTGTACACTTCAGTCTTCAGTCTCCTTTAGGGCTCCAAATCCGTTTTTTGTTTTTTTAAATGACTCCGGAGTGTTTCCGTGAGAAAAGGCAGCACCTGGCAGCTGGTGTCTGTTCGGGCATCATGTGACCGAAAGTCTGCTTGTTAACTTCGAGCACTTGGGGAAGCAAAAGAAAGGAAAAAAAGAAACCAGTAGAGCTCAGTAGAGTCCACACATCCACATCAACTACCTACTTCTTCTTCTTGGCTTCACTGTTTTTTATTGACATGCGGAAATGTCATGTTGTCGCACGGTTGGCTCCTCCCTCCTCAGGGAGCGGACAGCCGGGAGATTGGCTCCCATAGGCCGAGGAAAGCGTCAGTTCAGCGGGTTGGAATGTCCCACCGCCCCGCTGAATGAGCCGTGCACAGCCCTGTGTCATATTATCTGTGACAGCCGAGCTTTTGTTTTTCATACATCCCAGTGGTAAATGTATTGACCTGGAAGCCTGACATAAATAGTTTGTTTTACAATAGACGTATGGGAAAGTGTGTGGTAGGTTTTAAGCTTTGCGTGCTTTGAGTTATTGCCACAAATATAGATCTCTGTATGCATTGGTATGTAGTTCTTGAGGTACAAATCAGTAACATGAGCATACATTATATCTCAAGGGGCTCATGAAAAACACTACACCTTTAAAATGAGGCAAAAAAAATGAATATGCAACTATTTTAATGATCACAAACTCAAAATATTCTCTGGTATTTGCATCTCCAGTTGAAGGATTTGCTACTTTCTCCTGTTTGTATATCATTGTGTATTAAATGTATTTGGATTTGGGGCTGTTGATCAAGGAAAATTTGCATTTAACGTTGTAACCTTGGACTGGAAAACTGACTGCTATTGCTGTTAAAGAATAGAGAAAATAATCAGTAGATTGATAAATAATAACAATACAAAATCCTTAATTGCAGCCCTATAGTGCATTTAGAGACAGATCTGTTCTTGTAACTGCAAGTTTAGAAGCAGATATGGAATTTGCATTTGCAGCAACATCTAGTTTGTTTTCTTGGTGCCAGTCACCAACTGCAGTGAGAATTGCACACAGTCATACTCTATGTATTTGTTGTCTCTCCCATATGTACACTGGTTGGGTTGATGGCGAGGAAATCTATCATTTTAAATTGGGATATCGTGTAGTGTTTAAAGTGAGAAATATGCTGGTGTAGGTATGAAATTGTTGTTAAAGTTGCATAAAAACACTGGGACAAATATTCCAGAAATCTGAATGGAGATGCAGCCAAATGCACCCTCATAACACGCCAAAATCTTACTGGGCAGGCTGAGGCCACCCAATTCATTTCACAGACATCAGTCTCGGCTGTCCTTCTGGACTTTTTTTTACAGAGCCAGTAAAGATCTATCTTGAATTAAATCAAGGTAATGATGGATGTTTTGAGATTCCTTCAGTATGTTTCCCCTCCGTATTAACCCTTTTTTAATGTGCTATAAAACACAACTCTGAACTCTGCTTGTCAAGATAACCACCTCCACCATACTCTGAAACTGCTGTTTTTGTGGCAACTGAATTTGATACAGTTGAATGTTATCACTGCATCAGCTCCCTTCCAGACAGAGCTCATTAAAGACTGTGCATGTCATGACACTTGTATTCCCTCCAAGAAGGAAATGGTAATGAGGGTTGGTTCCTCTCTGCTCATTTTTATTGCAGCGATACCACATGCCTCTGTTTCCTTTACCATTTGGATGTAGCCACACTTGTGCATCTGTTGAGCTTTTGTTGAGCTCCAACAATAACAGTCTGTGATGAAATAACACAAACATTACAGTGTACACATGTGCATGCAAGATATGGCCAAAAAATATTGCAATTATTTTGACA